TACCCTGCCCCAAGTTGAGATTAAGGGTTTTAATTTGTGTAAAAAGAAAAACTCCTACTTCTTTTGGCTCAAAGGGGTTGATGAGGGATTATCTTCCTTATAACTCCACTATTAGGATTTGAAACAACGCATGTACATCGTCAGCGGGGTCTGTTCAAAAGTATACTGTAGAGATTGTGGTATCAATTTCGTCATCCTCCCTCTAAAGGCTCAGAATTTTTTAATCGAGAGTTGAACATCACAAAAAGGAAATATGAAGCAATTTAAGCATAGTGAAAATAATTAATTCAAAACAGACATGTGTAATTCATTAATGAAATAAAAAAATTTGAAATGACAATAATTGTTTGAATAGGCAAAGAAAAATACAACTTCATAATTCAAATGAACAAAAATGCTTTCAATCCTAGCCATGTTTTGGCAAGGGAGCAGTGATCACATTGGGAGTCTCAGGAGGGTCGAAGTCGATCTCCTTGGCGTCAATCATATTCTGAATCTTGTATTTCAACGCCCAACAATCGTTAGTATTGTGCCCCGGGCTACCAGAATGATAAGCACACCTTGCATCTGGGTTGTAGTTAGGAGAAGAAGTCTTAGGGTTCGGATGAGGGTTTATCACCGTAATCATATTCATCTTCAACATGTGATGCAATCCTTGTGACAATGGCATGTTGATTTGGGTGAACTCCCTTTGAAGTCTTTCCCCCCTTGGCTGATTATTTCGTTGTTGTGGTTGTTGTAGGCGTGCCGAATTAGAGATCAACACTGCCCCCACAGATTGGTGGTAGTCTGCCTTGCCATGCCTCTTTTGGATGTGCACAGCATTGGCTTCCCTCTTGCCACCAAATAACTTCTTCTCTGTACTCGAAGAGGTATCTTTCTGGATCTTACCACTCAGGATCCCAGCTTCTACTCTTTCTCTAGTCAGATTCAGTTCGGTGAAACCCACTGACAAGATGCCGATCAAATGATTGAAATAGGGACCAGACAAAGTCCCAAGAAACATATCCACCAACTCCCTATCAGACAGAGGGGGTTGGAATCTTCCAGCAAGATCTCTCCACTTCTGAGCGTAGTCCTTAAAGCCTTCGCATGTACCCATAGACATACCCTGAAGCTGAGTACGCGTGGGAGAAAGGTCGGCATTATACTGGTATTGCTTGTAAAAAGCAGCAGCAAGGTCCTCCCAGTTGTGGATGTTAGCTTCTTCCAATTGACAGAACCATTTAAGTTGAGTCCCTGACAGACTATCTTGAAAGAAATGAACCCAGAGATTTCTATCAGCAGTATAGGGTTGAATCTTTCTGACGTATGAGCGGAGATGTAGCTTCGGGCAGGATACCCCGTCATACTGAGCAAAGACAGGAGCTTTAAACTTGTAAGGGATCACCACCCCATATGCCAATCCCAGATCTCCAAAGTCCAACCCAGGTTTCTTCTGAATTTCCATTGCACTGAGCCGGTCTTCAAGTTGCTTATATCTATCCTCAGTAGGAGGATCTTGGTCTTCATCAAAATCAGTGTCATTGTCAGAAACCAAAGGTCTAGGACCCTTTCTTTCCTCCTGATTCCCTCCATATGAATGGGACAAATAAGTCTCTTGTCGTAACCTATTCCCAAACCTGTGACCCATATTCAGGAGAACCACTTTATTCTTCTTTTTCTTCTTCTCCTTCAAGATGAGAGACTTCAAATCTTGCTGCCCCTTGGCTAAGTTTAGGAACAACTCCTGGAATTAAGCATTCTGAGCTTGAAGAGCCTTAATAGCTTGATCAGTAGTTGTTTCAGAAGACATGATTGCTGAAATAAACAGCGGAAAAGATGAGAGACATGTACTAGAAGACCTGTTATGCAATGATATGTATGATATATGTATGCAATGTTTTCAAGGATCTCGCGGGATAAACAAGAAACTTGTTAGAATTTGATTGCAACTTGATTGAAGAAACTTCGTGTCGTTGAGAGTCCTTCTTCAAGGTTCAAGCTCACCATATCGAGTGGGTCATAGCCACCGACTCAAGTCATCGTGTTTTGATCTCTAGACGACATTGTCTAGATGAAAATAAATCCCCTTTGGCCCCTTTCTAGACGTTTGATTTACCATAACCTGTATCACAAACCCTTGAGATCCTTAAAATGGTTAAGGAAATGTTATGGTATGATGTTATGATGTGTATCCTATGCGTTTAATAAAACGTGTGAGGTGATATAAACAAGTAAATATGGCAAGAAATCCAAATTATTGGATAAGGACCATAAACAAAACCTGCAAGGAACTCATGTTGTGAGATATTAAAAATGTGGAAGTAGTTCAAGTTTGAAAGCACACAAGTCACACAATAGCCCTTAAATTTCAGGCTGGCATGGAGTTTAGGTACTACCTTCTTGCAGTTTAGTTGGTTCAACCTGTCCTAGTAATAGTAATCGGGTTCTAGAGGTTCTCAATATCACTGACCATCCTTGATCGGTCACAATTCCAGTTTAGCAACCTTTTCTTGCGGCCAGAATCATCGCGAGAGTATGGTCTCAATGAGTGTAGCATACTGCTACTTTCTATGGCCAAGTTGGTCAATTATAGGTTCTAAGGTCAGTTGATGCTTAATGACCCATTAGCAGCCTCATACTCTCCTTGTTCCTCCACAAGGGATATCGGTACCAACTAATATGTCACACCAACGTAGCTACTACTTCAACCGTATCGGTCTATGCCGTACAGTTCCCTGACAGTTTATTTCTAGTTACCTAAAAGGTGTCCCCCAGATCCGGGTTAGGATCTATAGTAACTCCAATACAAAGCCCACAAAAATAAAGCAATCAAATCAAACAAGAGAAGCAATATGATGAACTAATCCTAAGGTATACCCCACTTATAATTCCCCAGCAGAGTCGCCAGTTCTAGTGATACGGTGGCCAGAACCGGGACGTGTTTCCCTATTTTTTAAGGAATTTTCTGGTTTGAATTTTGCTTTTGTGTTTGCAAAATGTCGCGGTAAGCAAGAGTCGCCACCAACTTTTATTTTATCCAACAAGGAAAGGAAAAAAGCATAGAAAATTTCCTGTTTCGAGATATTTCTGAGTACGGGGGGTAGATTATAGAAAGGGAAGGTATTAGCACCCTTTTTATCCGTAGTTATCACGGGCTCTTAGGTACTTGCTCATCATTTTCAAAAAACATTTCTTTGTGTTTGTGTGCTTTGAAAAGTTTTTGTTTTAACTTCGATTTAACTCTTGCTTTTGTCTTCAAGAGTGTAATGAAGTGTTTTTGAAAACTTGTTTGTAAAGGAGTGTAAGTGTGAAAAAGTTTATTTTGATTGAGCAAGTACTTAAGAACTAATCTACCTACTCGAAAAAAGAATCGTTCTGTATTCATTTACTTTAGACAGCGATATCCCACTATTAGTGAGTAGGTAGTACCGTCGTTGGAGTTTTGAATGGTCAATTCGAGAGGGACGTGCGGTCACTAAAGCAATGTTAGGACGTCTTAGTAATAACCCTAATGTCTTAGATCAATTATCTGAGGCAACAGTATCCGAGGCAACCTTTCCGAGGCAACTATGATCTTTGGAAAAAATGACGACCACTAAAATATCCTATACTCATTGACCGTTTACCGAAGGCAACCAAGTGGGAGTGTACCCTAGGAGTGCGCATGTGCGGGTGATTCAATTTCAGTTTATTTATCTTTGTACATTTAGGGTGATCTAATTGTTTTAAAATTAGTCATACATTCTTGTCATGCATCCTATTATCAAACATCTATCAGTTAATAATTTGCGAAATTTAAAGTGCGGAAATTAAACTACGATATTACAAGGCTTCGGGTATTTACATAGCCAAAAACAAACCCTTGAAAAGTGAAGCCGTAAATAGAAATAAACATCCTATTTAACTATTACAAACTGTAGGCAGTTGTTGCACCCCAAAATTTGCCCTCCTAATTTCTTTTATTTTGGCTCAAACTTTTTGCATTCATCTACATCATTCCAATGGGTCATTTGCATAGCACGCATTTTTCATAAAGTAGATCGCCTGAGGCTCAAAAGATCAGCAGTTAGGAAGCTAGGGTTTACAGCTGATTTAAGGTGTATGTGTTGGATAAGTTTGATTATCTAGGGTCTTCTCGGTGTACAAAGTTTTGGAATTAAGGTTCAAGGCTCATTTCTGGACTTCTTCTCCACCAAGTTACTAGGGCTAATATCTTTTGATGAACAACTGGTTGTAGGTCATTCTGGTCAAGAACTCTAGGACGTGACCTAGCATATGTGGACTTTGAAGCATGGCATCCTTTCCTATAAGTATGCTTGTCATTTGATTAGGATTAATGACTGTGACATGACATTCATCTACTCCTCAGTTAATCAATTTAGGTTTGTTGACTCATGGTTCAAAGATGTTTTATCCGGATATTTCTCTGTGCATCTAAACGGGGAATCAAGATTGTAAGGTGTGGTTAACATGATTTCTTTCTCTTCAAGATATAATTGCCTTTATCCAGTCTTGGCAAGTGCTGGGGTTTTCATTTGTGCAACTAGGTTTCACGTCAAGGGAATTCTTCTGTGATTCAGACTTTATCATCCCTCTGTAAGATGTTCCTTATGACGCTAATTTCAAGTTGAAATAACCGACCGCTAAGGGATGGGGATTGAATTGTGAAGTGTGGTTCATGACCTAAGATATGAATTCATAGATTTCTCCTTAACCAAGGCAATCATTGTCCTCATCATTGTCATTTGTTATCTGCGATGCGAGTAGGTTGGGATTGAAGTGGGTTTCTCAGGGAAGAATTCATGCAAGGTAATTAAAGGTTCAAGGCATTCCAGGCAGGGTTTTGTTCGACATGGCATATCTGGTTGATGGGCTTACAAGCTCTTATGAGACCTTGAGATGCATAATCATGGGCTAAGTTCAAAGATACGAGGATAAGATCTGTTGACTTCGGTTAAAGTAAGCTTTGAACAATTAACTTTGGGGCCAAGGTCTCCCTTGAATTTTCATCTAATATGTGTTGGGAATTCGAGTTGCATTTGAAGAATAGTATGGTAAAGGAAAAGAAATTTTGGTTCAGAAAAGGAAGATTTCATTAAAAATCAGGGTTTCTATTCATTGATAAATGTTCAAGTAATTGAAGATCAGGGGAAATAAGGTTTCATGTTAATCTCGATCATGTTCTTTCATTATCATTTGTGTACATCTTTGATGATTAAAGGTCGTCAATTAGAGAAGGACCTCGTCGAGATAAGAGACTTGTGGATTGAATCGTAGGATGAGGCATGATACAAAAGGGCAAGGTTGTGAATTTTTTAGGATCAAGATCTTATTGGCTATTCAAATTATTTGTCATTCAAGTTGATTTGGGATTCAAGATTGGAGTTAGGAGTTCATTAAGAATGCAAGTGTGATTTGGATTTGATGTTTGATTTGAGTTTAAGATGTTCGAAAGTGTTTGATTGAATTAAAGTCGGCAAAGAGTCTTAAGTATTGGTCATATGGCTTTCTTGGAAGGTAAAGTACAGACTGCGAGGTTTTGTTTCAAGTCAGAGTTCATACGCATTACAAAGATGTTCACCGTTATTCCAGATTCAAGTTCACATGTGTTCAAAGTTTATTCGAACCCTTTCGTTCATGATTCAAAAATACTATCCAATTCCATTCAATTTCAGTCAAGTGTAACAATACCTTACAAGAAAATTCGATGCTTTCATGTCTTCAAGCATTTTTTCAAGACTTTGTCATTTAAACCCCGTCCTTAAAATTCATCACCCAACATTTCAAGCTCAAAGGTCATTTACAATTCACACTATAAATTTCAAGTTCATCCAAATCAAACATTCATTATAAAATCATTACAATCCCATTACACCAATATTCTACAAAGAAAAGAAAACGGTTACAAAATACACTTGAACAAAATTCCTTAGTCCTAAAGTTGTTAAAATTCCATGAGTAAACTTCCAATTCCATACCATGCCAGAGTTCTTCATCTTCAGTTCATGACCTGCACATTCATACAAAAAAAATCCAAGTCAATACAAGCAGTCATGCCATCATATCAGGTTCTCGAAGACATATTGATTACCTGCTTAGAGATCAACAGAATCTTTTTAGTTCGATAGATGATTTCTTGTGGTTCAAATTGTCGGCTGTACGGGACTGCCCAAGTGGATCTTCATCCCTTGTTCTAAGTGACAGTGTGATTCCATACACTTTGGATGATTTTCAAAGTTACCTGAATAAATTTGAATCATCATACTATACAAAAAATGGAAAAAGATCCTTTGGTATATTCTTATACCTTGCTTTTAAGCATTTAATTGCTTCCGGCTGTATTATACCTGTCTAAGGAAACAGGAGAGTTAGGACGTTTTGTGGCGGGTCAGCAGGCAACGTTGCTGAGGAAGCTTCGCGATGCCATCCATCGGTTGAAATTACGATACGTACTTTAAACCCCCGACATGGGATCCTTCTAGTTTAAAGAAAACTTATTTTGTAAGTTAAATGGAAAATTTGAACCCAATACAAAAGCAACCAGTTCATCCCTGCATAGAAAGATTAAAAAGCCAAAAATAAGAATAAAACTATCTGAAAAAAGAAACTAAATCAGCGTTTATTCAAGAAAGAAAACCCTAAATCAACCCATTTGGAACCGTATTGAACTTGCCGGAAAATGCAACCGGAGTTGTTCGTGACCTTCCAGAAATAGTGAGAAAGCCTGGCTTATATCTTAGATGATTTAGGCAACCAAGTCTTTCTGTGGCTTAAAACAAGACAAGCTTGCTGTATTCATTTGGCAAAAATGACAGAAATCCTAAGCTACACTGCTTGCAGACAATTGTCTCAAATGTTCATTGCAGTTATCTTCTTTCATGTTTCAGAATATTTTCTAGCCGCCTTCATTCATGGAAAGTCAAGTGTAACTTTGAAGTCCCTTTTGATTAGCAAACACTATCTTTTAGCAATGGTATTTTCATTGCTGGAATATTTAATTGAGGTTACTTTCTTTCCCGAGCTAAAGGAATATTGGGTTATCAGTGATTTAGGCCTAGTACTGGTTGTTGTAGGGGAAATTATAAGGAAAACGGCAATAATAACAGCAGGGCAATCTTTTACTCATATGATAAGGGTTCGTCCTGATGAACGTCACCAATTGGTTACACATGGTATTTATAAATTTATTCGTCATCTGGGGTGCCATTTGTAAATTGGAGATGTGTCATATATGTCCCGTAACATTCACTGCAAAGTAATCGTTGAAGTTATAAGTTTAGACCCATTTTTCCTCTAACATTTTCTACCTTCTAACCGCCTAACCAATTTCTAATTAACTCATTCAACTTTCTAACAGAATTCTAACATAAATTTCCTAACAAACTATTAACAAACTCTCTAACTGCCAAAACAAAATTCATAAATCCTAACCAACCTCCTAACTATTACAAACGGCCAGTACATATATAACGGATAGACAGAATAGGGAGGGAGAATTGAACACAGAAAAAAGAATTTATTACCTCTCAAATCATCTCATCCTTCAATCTGGAGAATCACCAACACATAAACCTCTCTCATATCTATGAGCCTTCTATGCACCTTCATTCGTCATCATTCTTCAATATTCAAGAAGAATCACAAAAATAGAGATTCACGATTCATTTTCACAAGAGACTCACCAAATATCTTCACCTTTTCTCATCTTCTGCAACTGAAGTTTTTCTCTACTCTCTGCCTCATTCATGTTTCATCTTCAATCATCATCATCAATTCAATCTTTTAACCTCACACCTCAACTTTATCTCTGCAACAACGTATCTACATCATCAATTTTGTTCATCAATCTCACGCATCGATACGCAGCCGTGACATCACAAACAGAAACAACAAAATCAAAACAACAACGCAAATGTAAAAGAAGCAGAAGCAGAAAGTGAATCAAAAAAGAGTAAAAGGGGAGAAAGAAAAGGAGATTTTTGGATGCTTGTTATTACCTGATTATCTTGAGTATCTTCTAGTTTATGTGCTCTTGCCACCAGTCTGAATACGCGTTGGACGATCTCCGGTTGATAAGCATATTTCTATTTTTCTTGCTCACACTGAACGGTTCGTATTCGCGTCGAATTCATTGAATCCTTGAAGAATATGAGAATTACGGCGGCGTTTGGTTAAGACGTGTTGTACCCCAAAATTTTCCCTCCCATATTCTTCAAGATTTGCTAAGAGCATGCTTCAAAATCTCCCAAAGGTTGCACAGTCCAATGGCCTCCTAACAGTCAAAAATTAGGGTTTTGGTTCTGGAAAAGAAGTTGAAGTTTCCAAGGGTCCAATCAAGTCCCACATGCCTACATACATTGTCAAGCATCCATATGCCAAGTTTCAAGACTCACAGCACAAAATTGCACAGTCAAAAACCCTAAATGCTTCACAGTCAACTGCAGGGGCAAAATGGTCATTTGACAGTCAAAAGTCCAAATTTTTGGTCAACATCTTATTTTGAAGCCACAAACATCATTTGATCAATTCTTGATCATGATTCTCAAGGCATGGCTCAAAAAGTCTCAAGATGCAAAAGTTTCTATTTTTGGACAGTTGGAAAAGTCAACTGCAAATTGACCAAGGCATAACTTCCACATGGTTTATCAGAAAAATTCCATCCAAAGCTCATTTTGAAGATAATGACATTTCATACAACTCATCTTCACACTTCAAGTCCAAGAAAGGCTCTCACAAAAAGTTATCAATCTCAACATTATAGGTCATTTTCAAAAGTCAACAAAAAGGCACTTTAAGTCAAAGACCATAACTTGAGATTGGTAAATCAAAATGACATGGGACCAAAGGCATTGGTTAGAGGACTTCAAGACCTTTCCAAAATGTCCAAAAACATGATCAAAGCTTAAACATTGAGCAAGATATGCCTTGTGGAAGTTGGGAAATTTTTGGGAATTTTGAAAAGTCAACTTTGCTTCAAATGCCTCAAAATTGCTAATGGGCCTCAATTTCTTCCATGAATCATCACCCAAAGGTCATGCACGACTCATTGACTTTAAAGGGAGTTATTTTCTTATTTTTAATTAATTAATTGAATTTTTAAGCTTATTAATTCATTTAATTGAAATTAAATATGAAAAAATATCAAATGCCACCTTTCAAATCTTTTTATGCAGCATATTCACTCTTTATGAGCTCAAGATTTCGTGCACATTCTATAAGGAAAGATTCAATATGATTGGCAATGATTGGCATAAGAAAGGCATGAAAAAGATTGAAAAAGATTGGATTGGAAATCAAATATTGAACCATTGAATACATGGATCATGGGCTAGTTTTCTTGACCTAATTCGTTCATATACATGTGCACAACATAACCCTAAGGCCTAGAACACAGGAGCTGCGCAAAACACAGAAGAACAAAACTTGCATTTTTCACAAAAAAAGTTGAAACTGTTTTCATAGCTAGGAGGTGATTCAAAGCTCAAAAAGTATTCCAAACGCTTGCTGGGACCTTCCTGAACGTGTCTCAACACCTTTCCAGTCTCCACGCACAAGGAATTGGTAGAACCATGTTGCACTTTTTCACAAAAAATTCATAATCGTGTTTCCATTTACATGCATTATTTGTGATTTTTAACTATTGATTTACACTAACATGGACCTTCTGAAGCTAATTGCATGCTTTGATTGAACTAATAAGCCCTGTACAAGATGTTACCATGGAAGCGTTCTAGGGTTTCAGAAGTTTGAATTTAGGGCTTTACACGTCTGGAAAAATCAGGCCAGGAAACCAGTACCATTGGAATCGTGACATCCAAACGATTTGAAATCACATATCGCGCCCAATTTCTATTGCTCTATGTACTAATCGCTATTATTTGGCATTTGTTTTTGTGGGGGTTTAAAACCCCCGCTAACTAATTATGTTACAGGTAAAACGATGAAGATGATGCTTGCGTGTCTGGACAGGACTGGGCAATTTGAATGTTCGCGCGTGATTTTTGTTTTCATACCAATAGCGCTTGTTTCCACATATATTGATCACGTTCCATATTAATATCAAATAAATGTGTTGGTTCAATTGGCAAATGTGCTGGCTTGCAGGTATTGGGACCTGGGTTCGATTCCAAGGTCCCCCACTTCTTCATAATATTTTTCTTAAAATGCTTCTGTGCAGTGTACTCTCAAAGGTTCACAAAGCGCACTCACCTGCCTGCTTGCCACGCGCCCAGGAGATCAATCCAGTGGCCAGAATCTGCAGTCCACCATGCGCATTAGTCAACTATTCCATACGTAACCATCAAAAGTCAAACAAGGCCTGGAATTGAGTGGGCCTGATTGCTTCAACAACACCTCCATAATTGGGCCAGAAACCCCCCTTGTTTGTATTTTCTTTCTCTCTTTTTATTCTCTTTTATTTATTTTAATTATTTTAATTGTTTCTTTTAATTCACAAAATAATTTTCATAATACAAAAAAAAAATCAGAAATCATAAAAATAAAAAATGTTTATTTAATATTTAATGCATTAATAGTTTTTGTAAATAAATTTTAATAATCAAATTAGTTTAATTTTAGGTCTTCAACTTTAATGTTTTTTTTCTTAAATAAACTAAAAAATGTAGAAATTAGGGTTTGTCACATTTTCATCCTTTTTTCTTAAATAAATAAATAATTCCTATCATTATTATTATTATTATTATTATATATTAATTATTTTGTAAAAAAATATGTCATTAAATAATTAGTGTAAATTAGGTCAAAACTTAAATATTTTTTTAAATAATTAAAAATAATTTAGAACTAGGGTTTTATTTAATTTCAAATTTTAATTAATTCTCTTTATTTCATAAATACCAAAAAACATCAAAAAATAACTTCTTTTCTTATTAAAATAATTAATTGCCTCTGAATTTCAATTTAATTTCTTTAAAGGGTCCAACGCCCTCGCCTATTCGATTCTAATTTCTTTTCGCGCGTTTGTCTTTATTTTTTGTTTCAAGTATTATGTAATTCCCCCAAAGCCTTGTAATAATAATTAGGACCTTTATTTTCCGCATTTTTATTCAAATCGGGTCTTTGTTAATTTGGCGATGTATAGACCCGCGCCTTGTAATAGCGTAGGACCTTTATTTTCCGCATTTTAATTTCCGCACCTTTTAACTGCTAGCTATTGCATGAAAGAATGAATGGCCCAAATAAAATCAAAGCGTAGCTCACCCAATGCATGATCAAGATAAAACATAATTGAAAATGACACACAATTCACACACCATTCTTAGGGTACGCCTCACTGTTGCCTTGCCCCTCGAAACGTGGTCGTCGAGTATAGGACGTCTTAGTGAGTCCTTATGT